ATTCGTTTATTGTTTTCTAGGATGCGTGCGTTTCTGGTCAAGCCTATAAAATGTTCATCACACATCTAAACGATGCGTGTTTTCCTGTGCATACCCTCCCTGCCGTGCATACCCTACCGCGCATCCCCATCCATTGTTGTTCGCTTAACAAGGAACTAATTGAAGACAAACAACGTGCACATATTCAGGTTTCATCCATACAAGATACAAGATACAAGAGAAAAATAGAGAAAAAATAAGAACTAATAATTTCTGCTGTAGTTGAATCGGCGACTTCTCGCTTTGTGCGCACTTTTGCCTCTAAGGGAGAGTTCAGTTAAAATTTCTTACGCTGAAGTTGAACCGACGATTTCTCGCTTAGTGCGCACTTTTGACTCTAGAGGAGACTGCGATTCGATTTTCTTACTCTGGAGTTGAACCAACGACTTCTCGGTTAGTGCTCACTTTTGACTCAAAGGAGGACTGCAGTTTAAATTTCTAACGCACTTGTGACTTTAAAGGAGACTGCAATTCGAATTTCTTACGCTGAAGGTGAACCGACGATTTCTCGCTTAGTGCGCACTTTTGACTTAAGAAAAGACTTTAGTTATATTTCTTACGCTGTAGTTGAACTGGCGACTTCTCGTTTACTGCTCACTTGTCACTCAAAAGGCGACTTCAGTCAACAGTTCGTACGCTTTGAGCTGTGCCTCAGTCAATCGTTTGTGTATATAGAAAGGCGGCCAGCGCCAGGCATCGGGCAATATATTTACACATTACGCATACGACGCATCTGCCGCAAAAATTCAACCTCAAAATTATTTTGAACTATTGAACATTAATTTACGAGGGCCATTAGAAATTTGGTTTCCGAAATCTGTTGTACATTAAATTGAAGCTAGATAAACATAAAGTATATCTACGTAAATCTTCCTGATCAGGCTGACGCTCAAAAGTTGATAATTTTCTATGTGTTTGTTATTTGTGGCTTGGCCTTAAAGTTTGAATACCCATTAAATGTGCTTTCAAAGGGCGTATTGTTTTTGTGCAGATGTATGCAACGGGCAAATCAAATCAACTGCGACTCTATAGGGCATATATATATTCTTGATCTGGTTGAAGAGCTGAACTGATTTTTTATATAAATCGAAGAAAGCTAGCATGATCGTAAAAACAGAGCTGGGCGCGCATGGTTAGGGTATCTCCAAGTCGGGCACTCTCGACTAGAGAACTTTTAATTTAGCTTTTTTTTTTTTTTGATTTTGTTTGTTTATTTGTTGGTAACTTGTAGAAATTGCTGCTGTCTGCCACACGCTTAAGTCAAGCTAACCTGCTAACACACACACACACACACACATACACTTGCACACACACACACTCAGCTAACACAGTGACAATAAACAGCAAAGACCCAATGTTAACCGCAGCTGTGGCATTCTTTTTATGCCAAGCACTTAAAAAACTCGCATGTGTGTGTGTGTGCGTGTGTGTGCGTGTGTGTGCGTGTGTGTTTGCAAAAGGAAGCAGCGCGTGTGCGAAAAAGCGTTTCGCAGCATATGCAAAAGGATTTTTCGTCAGCGCAAAGGGACTTCACTGTCTGTCGCAGTCGCAGCCCAATTCCAGGGCCCATTTCCTGATCATTGCTTGTGTTAATAAAGCACGCACACACACACACACACACACAGAGGCATACACGCACACCTGGACCTCGGTGTGTGTGTGCGCGGTTGTGTCTGGTCAAAAAGCCAACCGGAAGTGTCTCAATTTGATTACATGCTCGTCCTGCGGCAGCCGCAAACTTGCAACTTGCCCGCCCGATAATGAGGAAGTCGCTGGCCAACACACGCACACACACGCACACACGCACACAGACGCACAGCTCGCTGTTCATTGCGTGCGCAGGATGGGCGAGGGGGGCGTGGCTAGGTTTTGGGGCGTTAGAGAAAGCTGCGCTTCGAACTAAAAATTTCCACACGCTCGCTTTAAGTCGCTGCTGTGCCACAAAGGCACTTCACGGGCGCCACTTGCCTCACTTTGCAGCAATGCTAACGAGCTGCACACACACACACACACACCAACACACACACACACACAGGGACAAGACAAGCAAATGACATCTTTTGCCTTCAGTTTCGCACATGTTAAAACTTTTGTCAACACGAAGTTTGTCTTGCGTCCAGTGTCAAGACACGGCCCCGCTTCCTGCGCCCGCCTGCCTGCCACCCTTCCCCCCCCCCCCCCCCACACTCCTCCAGCCCTTCAGGCAAACTGCAGCAAGCAGACGGCCTAACAACATTTTTGCTGCATTCTGTGCGCCCGACCAAGGAACACATTTTTTTGGTGGGCGCCACCAAAAAGTAAATATATAAAGAAAAAAGACTGAAATTGAACAAATGCAGCCGGAAAAAAATTCCTTTTGGCCAAATGTTTACACAAACTGAGCCAGCGGGCAGCGGTCAGTGGGCAGTGGGCAGTGGGCGTGGCTGCTGGACGTAGACATAGCATATTAAAAAATATATATGAAATTGCTTGCAAAAATTACAAGATGTAAATATTTGTAATGTTGCGCATACGCCATGCTGGACAGTGGCAGTAAATAAAACAAGCAGCTCGCATGGTCAAAAAGCAGCGAGTAAAAAGAGAGAGATAGAGGGGGAGAGAGAGGAAGAGAGGGCAAGCGAGAGCGAGAGAGTCGCGCTGAGTAATAGAAAAATCCAAAATGAAATTTATAAATTTATATGAATGCCAAAACCAAGGGGCTGGTTGGGCAAAGGGGAGGAGAGGGTAGAGGGGCACTTGAATATACACTTGTTCGCCCCGTTTGCTTAGACAGCAAACTAAAGCAAATATTTGAAAGCTGGCCGTACGGCCAGTTCATTGCGACCAAGATCAGCGAAATCGCACAAGTTTCAGCTGATTTATTAGCTAGAAAACCTCATTGTGCCGAAGTGCGGCAACAGCGCTTCAAACAAATTAAAAATTGAAGTTTGGCAACATGGTAATGTATCAATAAACATTCACATAAACATAAACATTCGTCGAGTGTCATTAAAAGCATTGCATTAGAGCTAAATTTAGCGGCAAATGCATGCTAAAAAAAAAACACCCACGAAGTGTGGCAACAAGGCAAACAACTTGTAAACATTTTTCACTGAAAAAAATCCAATAAATATTGGCCTAATATTCATAAATATGCAAGACATGCTAATTACCAACAGTTAGCAATAAATATTAGTCAATTTTTGAGCTGAAATGCGGCAACAGCGCCTTAAACTGTTTAATTTTATGTATTTGTTGCTTTATTTATGATATCAATATGTCAAAACTCATTGCACTTAAGCAAATTGCAGGCCAAGAGGAATGCATTGAACTCACAGTTCAGTGAGACTTTGGGTAAAATATTTGCCAAATTTCATTCAAATATTTGCCATCAACGAATCCCACTTGAATTTGGATATAAATTAAGCTTAATGTATGAAATTGTCTCAGCTTTGAAGTATTTTTACTCTGTTAATGGGTATATATGCTTATTTTATTTTCTAAATAAGTCAATTTGGCAACAGTGCAAAATATGAACATTTGATGCCAATCAACAAATCGCACTTGAATTTAGATATAAATTAAGCTTAATTTATGAAATTGATAAGGCTTTCAAGTATTTATGCTCTCTTATTGGTTAACATAGCTTTTCTGATGTCCAAAAAAAACCTTAAAATTGGAATCCATAAGCCATGCTTGCCAATTTTCATCAGCTTTTACTTGATTTTACATGCAATTTACTTGCTAAAATGAAGTTTGGCAACAAGGCACCAAGAATTTCTAATCAATGAAAGCTATATTTTTTAAAAAGAACAATACTCTTCTTTTTCTTCATGCTTTCATGTTTAAAACGAACAATATTCTTTTTCTTCTTCATATTCATGATTTCACATGCACTTTACTTGCTAAAATGAGCTTTGCAACAAGGCAACAAGAATTTCTTATCAATGAAATCTACATTTCTTAATAATAACAATTTTCTATCTCTTCTTCATCATGATTTCATGATTAACAAGCAAGAGGTTCTTTTCGGGAGCTCCCGACTAGGGGATACCCTGAACCCCCTTGTTCCAAAAGGCGATAGGTATAAAATGAAAGATACTTGATATATACATACTATTCTAGAAGTCACATGTCAAGTTTGGTGATTTTAGCTCTTATTATTTACCAAAATCGATTTTATTCGATTACTTGGGAACGGGGCAAGTAATCGAATATCGGAAACAAACTCGATCTGCGCGGGTAATAGGAGGACCTTCAGCTAAAATTTCAAGTCTCTAGCTTTTATAGGTTCTGAGATCCTTGCGTTCATACATACGGACAGACGAACGGACGGGCGGACGGACAGGCGGACGGACAGACGGACGGACAGACGGACATGGCTAGATCGACTCGGCTGTTGATGCTGATCAAGAATATATACACTTTATGGGGTCGGAGATGCTTCATTCTGCCTGTTACATACATTTGCACAAATACCTAATACCCTTTTTACCCATTTTCAATGGGTTCAGGGTATAAAAAGAACAATTTTTTTCCTCTTCTTCATATTTTCACATGTACACATTCACATTTTTTGGCTAAAATGAATTTTGGCAACAAGGCAACAAGAATTTCTCATCAATGAAATCTACATTTCTTAATAATAACAATATTCTTTCTCTTCTTCATCATATTTTCACGATTAAAAAGAACAATTTTTTTTCTCTTCTTCATATTTTCACATGCACTTTTTTTGGCTAAACTGAATTTTGGCAACAAGGCAACAAGAATTTCTCATCAATGAAAGCTTTATTTCCTAAAAAAAGAACAGAACACGCACGCCTAATAAAAATTTAAAAAATTTCGAGAAAAAAATTCTATATCAGCATATAAACATATAATTTATTTATAGATCTTAAGAAATTGCAATATATATGTGTTGCCCGTCAGCTGCAAAACTCTATAAAGCGATTGATTTAAGTAGTCAATTAGGCACTCACCTGCCGTTATAGTTGCTCACGTTTCAAAATTGGTATTTTATTTGATATTTTTTTTGGCCGTTTTCGAATTGCTCGCAAATGCTTTGGCGTTTTTCAGGGCTAAACGATGTTTATCTCTCGATTTGTATTTAACAAATAGTAGCCATAACATTGCTTCAACATTTCTGGGGCAATGTTATAACGCGCACTTTTCCAAAAAAAAAAAAAAACAAAAATTATATTAACAAACTTTAATAACGTTCAAACAGAGCACAAAGAAAAATAGCAAAAAAAAAATTGTTTATTTTTGAATTGGCAACGCGAGCGCGCAAAACTTTCAAAAAAATGTTTGTTAACCCTTGTGCTGTTTGGCGCTTTAGCTACTGCTGCTGCTACTGCTGGCTTTACTGCTACTGCTGCTACCGCAAGCGAGACGCGCGCCACGAGTGCCGAAGCCGTTATGACAGAATCTTGCAAGCATCTGGCCAACTTATCCTTCTCGCCTTCTGCCCCAAACGACGCCGGCAGCGACGCTGGCGTTGGCAATGGGCAGCGGGCACACGAGCTTTCAACGAAACGTTCGTTTCGCTTCGTGCGTTCGGCCTGACGCTGCCTGTGTCCGTGTGCGCGCGTCTCTACGCATGTGTGTGTGTTTTTTTGTGTGGGTGTGCGCTGAGTGCAATTGCAGGCGTTTAACTAGCGACCAAAGCGCTAAGCTAAGCGGCGGCTCACTCGGCTCTGCTGTGTGTGTGCGTGTTCCTGTGCGTCTGTGTGTGTCTGTGTGCGTGTGCCAAAACAAAACGCTGGCGGAATATAATTTGTACTGTTTGTGTATTGTTTTGTTTATTGTTGTTGCCTTTGCTGTTGTTGTGCGAGCTTCAAAACTGCAAACAAATTTCCGTTACCGGTGACACACATGCACGCACACGCACACACACACACACACACACACACAGCTACAGTCACACACACCGTTACGCACCACATAACGAGAGATTTATCGAACAGGCAAATGGCAAAACGAATAGCAAAACTTAGCTGTAAATAAACAAAAACCAAAAAGGTTACACGACTGCATTAATACCCTGTTTCTCTATATATGTATATGTAGCTGCTGTATGCGACTACATGGATACCCTGTTTTTTATGACATAATATAGAAAATTTATGATGCCCGACTGCTTGAATACCCTGTAAGCGCAACACAAATTTAACTGCAAAATATGCGGTTATAATCAGAACTATGTATAAAGCTACATACAGCTTCCTTAGATCAGATGGGCACGCACGCGTAGATACCCTGTAAATGCAATAAACTCACAGGTCATATGAATAGGTAAACAAATCAAAACTATATGATTTATGTATATAGAACGCTTATATGGCATGCATACACATAATTTGTGCTATTGAGCTAATTGCATACCCTGTAATTCATGTTATAATAACATTATTACGCTACTCGATTGCATTAAAATTCTGTAAATAGAACATGAACGAAGCATAGTTCCAATAGGCAAACAAGTCTGATTGAATACAATTAAATAGATTCCCTTAGATGCCCTGTAAATGCAACCTTTAACCACAATTCAACAAAAATATGGCTATATATGGGACTAAAGGTCTTTAAAATGGTTCTTCCTATAGTTTATATCCGTTTAGGCGGTACAGACTTTCGTAAAAGATATCAAGAGCGTTTATATGCTATCCTTTACTCAGAGAGCTTGACTTATTTCCCACTTGATCCACTATTAAGGAGCTGAATATACCCTATAAAATGTATCTAAACACACAAATCCAACAAAATACACCCATCCGTAAACTGTCGTGGAGCGAATGCTTTGGCATGTCGAATGATCGACATGTGTTTACGAGGCTATATATTATTTATTGACTTTTGTGTACATACATATATATTAAAGGAAGATCATAAATATTTTAGCTGTGAAACAAGTGTATGGGCTATGAAAATTGCTCATCATAAATTTCAATTAACTTCAGTTAAAATAACAATACGTGGCTCAATTTTACAAAGGCAAAACAAATGTCTTTCATAAACGATTTCCGATGAAATAATTTCGGAAGAAATTCTGCTGAAAGTGACAAGTGAATACCACCAAATGGAATACAATTGCTTCAAGTTTTTGCTATAAGTTGACAAAATAATTGCCTAATGCGATGGGCCTCGCTGAAAGCTGTGCAATCATTTTAAGCCGTTTCAATGTAAGCAATTACTTGAGCTTTATGCTTCCAAGGAATTCTTGTTGCTTGACTTAAATTATATATTTAATTAAAAGAGCTTTCGAGTAGCAGCTTTTAAAGTCTCAGTGCGAGCTTTTATGTGCTTTACAACGAATGAAACTTTAAGATAGTTGAATGCAGCTTTTGCCTAATGCTCATGCTAAATGTGAGCTTTATATGTTTTAGTTAAGCTTAAAGCTGAAGTGCTTTTAGTTCAGACTAGATAGTCAAGATTTTATCTTTGGGTGAGCACCAATTTTCAATTAAAGCAAGCAAAGCTCACATCTTTAATCTTAAAACTAAGTTGTAAGAGTTTATTTTAAAACTTTTTTAAATTAATTTTAAATCTTTAAGATATAAAGAAGCTTAATTTGATAATAATATATTTAAGCTTGCTTAACGCTGTCTGGCTCAAGAACTATTTTCGCTCGCGTTGACTTAAAGCTCACAAAAAAAGATGCCCAGCGAGCTTTCAGCGTCATTTGTGCTTTCGCATAGCTTTTGTAGGTCTTAAAGCTGCTTAAAGCTGTCTGGCTCAAGAACTTTTTTCGCTCGCGTTGACTTAAAGCTCAAAAATGATGCCCAGCGAGCATTCATTTACATATTTGAAATTTAATTTGCAGCTTGCATTAGAATTCTAACCGCATTCCCGATGTGTTTGAGGCTAAATTTCTTTCACTCGAATAAAGGAATATATATGTATATATAGTAAAAGAAACCCCATTTTTTTTATCCTGCCACGCTTTGCTGGCGCATCCGTTTGCCTTGGTGTCCTGGGAATTTCACTTTTGCTTCTCCAACAGTCCAACAGCCGGACAGCCGGGCAGTACGACAGAACGCATTGGTGTCAAACACGACAAACCAAGCGATGCACCAGCCTGAATATACATATATATACAAATATATATATTTTTTTTTTGTGCAGCATACTTTGGGGCATTGGGGGGACAAGGGGCGGACGGGGATGAGGCAGAGCGTCGGAATGCAGGAAAGGGAGGGCGAAAAAGAATCCAACTGAGAAGCTATCATTGGGACTATCATGGGGCCTAACAATAGGTAAATATGGCACGACTTGGCTTTGAGTCCGTCTACGTATTTAGTACCAGGCAAAGCTGCTAACTCTGCCTATGCATACGTGTGTGTGTGTGTGTGTATTTTAAGCTGTTGTTGTTGATTCAGCACGTGACTGGGTGCATTGTGAATAAAGCGAGGCGACGAGTTGAATTTTGAGCGAAGCTCAGTCTATATATAGGCTAATAACAAATGCATGAGCTGAGGAAAATTCACAATAACATAATGCCAATACACTGGAAAAAAGTTAAGCATAGAATATAGGAATAGAGATAGATATAGATATAGATATAGATATAGATATAGATATAGATATAGATATAGATATAGATATAGATATAGATATAGATATAGATATAGATATAGATATAGATATAGATATAGATATAGATATAGATATAGATATAGATATAGATATAGATATAGATATAGATATAGATATAGATATAGATATAGATATAGATATAGATATAGATATAGATATAGATATAGATATAGATATAGATATAGATATAGATATAGATATAGATATAGATATAGATATAGATATATTCTTCGAATATATTGGCAAATCATTTTAGATCGGCCTACTATAAGGCACCTGTAAAAGCAATGGGTCGGAAATTGCGCATTTGCATAAAAGCGTTTACAGCCAACCAGAATGTTTAGTAACCGCCCAAAATAAAATATATATGTATATGTTATCTTATGCAAAGACAAAAGTTTTTTTTCCAAGAATTAAATTGATTTTTTAAGAAAAAGACGTAGGTAAAACGCACATATACACTGGACCAAATAGATGGGTAATTATGCAGGCAAAGTGTGGACAGCTAACAAATATGACTACTGTTTTATTCTAGCATATATCTTTGTATTATAATTTTGAGAAGGGGAGGCATCGTCGAACCCATAGAGTATATATACTCTAGATCAGCATCAACAGCAGATTTTATATAGCCATATCCCTCTGTCTATTGTCTTAAGACTTAAGACTTAAGACACATATGTCGGACACGGATCGGAGTCGGATCGAATCACTATATCGTATAGCTGCCATAGGAGCGATCTGTAGAAAAGTAGCTTCTTGTATGGAAAACTTGTTTGTTTTTCTAGGGATCTTGACCAAACTTGGCATTTACTAGTTAAACTATGCTGTCTATATATGAGTCAAACCTTATCAAGATCGCGCTACTATATTAGATAGCTTTATATATACATAAGTATTTACTTTAACTTTTTAGCTCTTTTGAAGTTAGCTCCCTTTTCGCTCAGTGAATGGGATGTGCATGTAACATGTGACAGGCCCATCGAATTAGGCATGCATCCCTGTGTGTGTGTGTGTGTGTGTGTGTATTTTGCATTAAAACACAAATAAATTTGTGCGCCTGCCAATGCGTGCGTGCGTGCGTACGTACATGCGTGTGTTTGTGTGTGTGTGTGTGTGTGTGTGTGTGTGCGAGAGGGTGTATGGCGCACTTCAATTTGCTGTCATGAGCATGAAAAGTGCTGCACGCCCACGTTGACGTTGGAGCCGACGACGACATCAACGCCGTCAGAATTGGCCTGGTCACGTTTTGCGTGCTGCAACTGCCGATGCCCGTCCCCACTCCACACAACTCCTCCTCCTGCGGCCCACGCTCGAAAAAAAAACAAAACAAAAAAAGAAGGAGAAGGAGCCTCAACAACGTCAACGTCGACGTCGACGCGGCAAGCGCTGTGCAGCGCTTGGTTCATTTGCCAGCGAAGCCGGCCAAGCGCTCAACTGACCCGTCAGCCGATGCACCGTGGTGCAAGATTTGTTTGCCCAAAGCCAAAATCTAAAAGTGCAATTCTACATGGAGTGCTCGGAAGTGCACGACGAGGAGATACACTGAATCCAGCGCCAGCTGG